ATGTTTGGAATGACATTGGGACAAATGCATTAATTGAATGGAAGAAATTAGTCTTTCTTTTATAAAAAGTACAAAACCAAATCAGAGCAACCGGTACCGATCGATTAACCAGACAGCACTCAGACAGCTGCTTTTTCTGAGCAGCACAAGTTCTTAGGTCCAAGCAGATGCAAGCAGGACTAAGCCAGTGATGGGCACTGCTCTGCACTTCTTCAGAAAGCTTCCTCTTTCTGCCCAGAGGTGGTGGTTTAGATTGGCAGCCCTCCAGTGGTTTGATTGTGTAGGGGGCTTTCCTATAATGTTCTTGTAGACTGAGAGGGGCTTCTAATATTGGAGGAGTCACGCTTAAGAGACATAAGTTCTTCTGAAAATGAGGCAGCCACCACTGCTGTGGCCAGGCTGACTGTGCTTCACATGTGTTGCAGGCCTCCAGCAACTTGAAACAGTTGAGCTGAGAAAGCCAAAGGTTTAGATTGACTAAATAGTGCATTTTATATCTGAAGTTATTCAAACAAAAGGAAGGTGAAATACCAGAACCTGTGATAAGTAAAGCCTAAAGGCTGACCTGTTGTAATTCCCCTATGGAGCATGTGATAAATTCTGTCTCCTAGATATTTCATGTACCGTGTCTGTGTTAAAAAGCATGCAGGAAAACTTGTCTAAAAAGTGATATCCAACATAAGCAGGTAGTACTGGCAGGCATGTGTTCATACTGATATCTATGTCCCTGCTCCCTAATTCTCTTGGCACTGCTTCTCTGGGATTCTGTACTGAAGAATAAGGCATGGCAGAGCACTGTTTTGGGTCTTGTAAAATTATGACACATAGTGTGCTTTAATTCTTTTAGTTCTACAAATATTGGTAAAAAGATGGATTGTTCAAGTATTTAGCATCAGATGTAGCATGGGACGTGACTGTTTCTTTTTTAATGTTGCAGTGGTAACAGAGGAAGAAAACAAAATACTGAAAAAGAAAAAGATATGGCAAAATCTTCTGTTTGCAAGGAGATGAAGCCTTCAGAGAAGCCCAGAGCATCTGTACTGGCCTCCAGAAGTTCTAATAGTGCTGCTGTTTCTAAAAAGTTGAATAAAGAGTGTGCTTGTAGTGAAAAGACCCACCGAAGTAGAGATTCTGAGTCTCAAAAAGAACGTGATAATAAAGGATGTAGCAGCAGTGGTTCTAAGCATGCTTCTCAGGATACCAATCCTCAAGCTAAGGAAAGTGACTTCAAAAAGAGAACCCCCACAGACAGCAAGAAAGTTTCAGAAAAGCAGCATTCCTCTGTAGCCAATAAAGACTTACCACCCCAGAAGGAAAAGCCTAGTAAGGATGCTTCCAAACGGAGAAATCCTAAGCATGTGAAGAAACCAAACCAAAAACTTGTTATAGAAAGCAAAACTGAATTATCTAGTGATGAGGAATTTGAGCCCCCTACTATGTCTTTTGAATCTTATCTTACTTATGATCAAGTTACCAAAAAAAGGAAGAGAAAGGCTTGTTCTACAGGTGAACAGCGAAAGAAGTGCAGTGAACAGAAGAACAGCTCGTTACCACAAAAGACTTCAACATGTTCTCATGCAAAAGAGAGAGAGGAAGATGTAAAAAAATGTGAGGATGATCAATCAGAAACTCCCAGTAAAAAGGTAAGCCACCACATAGTTGAGATAATAGCAAATAAATTGCAGATCAAGTACTCTATTTTGGTGAAGTTCAACTGTATTTGTTTTAAGCAGCAGATTGCAACACAGCTGCTATGTCAGTAATTGCAATAATTGGGGGGAAAAAAGTGAGTGTTTATTGCGTGGTGGCATTTCAGTCTCATTTTGTCTCTTACAATCTTACAAACTTGTCTAGAGTTTTTTATTTTTGGTGCTATCTGGTAAGACAGTAGTCTTTGTTCTGTATCAGTTAATAGGCTTTTTCTCCACTGTGAAGTAAAGGTACTTACCTTTGGAAACATGTCCTCTGCTTCCATTCTTGACCAGCCTTGCTTGTGACTGTAACAGCTGTTGGTGCATAGCATAGTCACTTTGTCAGATGCTGTGGTTCTTTGGTAGTGAATGTTAAGGTCTGCAGCAGAACTGAACTTTCTTCTCTTCATGCATTTAAGTAAACCGCAGTATTGCATATAAAAATAGTTTATACATGTTCATAACTTGAACTAGCCTAGGCCCCTGAAGGGGAAGAAGTTTAAGTAGCTGCTGTGAACCAAGGTAACTCTAAGCGTGTGTATTAATTAGACCTTCTCAGTGGAGATCTTCTGTGCACTTACGTCTCTTCAGTCTTTTATCTTTACTGTCGTGTGAAAGCTCCAGGCTTTATTTATTGTGGAAGATCATAGAATCATAGAATGATTTGGGTTGGAAGGGACCTTAAAGATCATCTAGTTCTAACCCCCCTGCTGTGGGCAGGGACACCTCTCACTGGACCAGATCTAAAATGTGAATATGGTATCTTCTGTCCCAAAAGGAGAAATACCAATGTAGAGACTTGTATATGATACTCTAGCATAAATTGTTAGACCAAAATCTTGGGATGTTCAACAGTTGTGAAAAGTTATTAAAGATAACTGGCTTAAGGACAGGGCTTAGAGTTGTGGTCAGTGAGGCAGAGTCTAGTTGGCCTGTGACTAGTGGTGTCACCCAGGGGTCGGTACTGGGTCCATCCCTGTTTGATATATTCATCAATGACCTGGGCAAAGGGACAGTGTGTATCCTCAGCAGGTTTGCTGATGATAGGAAACTGGGAAGAGTGGCTGACCCACCAAACGGCTGTGCAGCCATCCTGCATGACCTGGACAGGCTAGAGAGCTAGACAGGGAGAAACTTAATGAAATACAACAAGGGCAAGTGCAGAGTACTGCATCCGGGGAAGAACAGCACCATGCATCACTACAGGTTGGGGGCTGACCTGCTGGAGAGCAGCTCTGGGGAGAAGGACCTGGAAGTCCTGGTGGACAACAGGCTAACCGTGAGCCAGCAATGTATCCTCATGGCCAAGAAGGCCAATGACATCCTCTGGGGTGCATTAAGAAGAGTGTGACCAGCAGGTTGAGGGAGATTATCCTCCCACTCTGATCTGTGCTGGTGAGGCCTCACCTGGGGTACTGTGTCCAGTTCTGGGCTCCCCAGTTCAAGGACAAGGAACTACTGGGGAGAGATATGATTAGGGGACTGGAGCACCTGCCATATGAAGAAAGGTTGAGAGAGCTGGGTCTGTTTAGCCTGGAGGAGGCTGAGGCAGGGATCTCATCAGTGGTTATGAATACCTAAAGGATGGCTGCCAGGAAGATGGGGCCAGACTCTTCTCAGTGGTGTCCAGTGACAGGACAAGGACAATTGTCACAAACTGGAAAACAGGAGGTTCAGCTGAAACCTAAGGAAATACTTCTTCACTGTGAGGGTAACGGAGCTCTGGAACAGGCTGCCCAGAGAGGTTGTGGAGTGTCTGTCCCTGGAGACTTTAAAAAACCTTCCTGGAATCTAGGAGGGAAGGTTGGACTAGATGATCTTGTGTGATTCTGTGATATTGAAATGAAATTCAGGGAGGTGGAAATTTTGACCTATAAGTGGCTGGCTTACGTAAGTTGAAGGACACCTAAGACTCAACTTAAATGTTGCACATAATACTGAGCACGTGTAGGGCCTGCACTAGACTGCTGCATCTTTAAATCCCTTTTAAGAGGTTATCTGTGGAAAATTTTAGGCTAAATGGCTTGTGCAGCACAATATAGGAGACTTGAAAGCTTTATAAAGCTACTGCTTGTCTTTCAGGATGGTGTTTAGTTTGTGTTTAAACATTTAACTGGGATTTTGTTATCTTTCACTGCATGCCTCTAACCTCAGTGGCGATTTGTCTGAAAGCCTGTTAACTGGACACATCTCTGTTCTTTAATGTCTTTTAATGTGCTGATTGCAGATACACCACTAAGTTCCTTTTGTGATGTAGTCTTGGTAAGCAGAGTATGAAAGAATACACTGAAAAGTAATCAAGGGAGTAAATTTTAGTGCAGAAAAGCAATAATTCTAGTTCTCTGGGTTAACTTTGGGGCTTGCTTAAGGTTTGTGGGTTGTTCGGGTTTGTTTTTTTTTGTTTGGTTGAGTTTTGTTAGTAGCTTATTTTAAGCCTTGGTAAATCCAACTTTGTTGAAGCAATATTTCCTTGACTGTGCACAGGCCAAGGTGACATCCCTTCAAGATCTTCTTAATACTCCACTGCCTAAATTTCTGACAGGCCTCTCGATTTCATCTCCCCCGTATGCTGCAGATTTTAAAGGTAAGTAGTATGTGAGACTGTTAAATGTGAAATAGTGTAGGTTTTTACAGCTCTGTGTAGAGACATCTTTATCCTCTCTCCTAAGAAACTGTATTAGCTCATCTGTCCATGACAAAGAAATACTTCACCTTCACTTTCTTATCTATAGAGATCATACTGGAGCTGAAGAGAGTTACAAAGGCTTCCCTCTTACGGCTTGCTGAATAAAGAAATACTGTGGAAGGTTACTGCGGATGTAGAGAGGGCATAGATCAGGTGGTAGCTCTACACACTCCATTCGTCTTTACTCCTGTTTATAGGAGGCAAAGGAATTATCTTGGGTAAAATATAGGAAACACTAGGTCTAGCTTCAGCACAGGAACTTGCTAGCATCTTTACAGGTACGTGACACAAAGTGCCAGTAGTTCCCATAACAGCTCTTGTGAAGTTTCAGTGATTCTGTGTCACTCTGGTCTTGAAGCATCACTGCTGTTGCAGCTTCTGGCTGCTCTGGGATAACTTGGGAGGGTCAATAATGTGCTGTAGGCTGGTAACAGAGTAATCTACATGTGAATACAGCTTATATAGACCTGTGCTAAATAATGAAAGACTGATGTGATTTGGAGCAGCACCTGCAACGTACATGTTGTCTCACTGTTAGATGATGGCAAATGGACTTCTGTAACGTATAGTGTGTGTACGGGCTCCAAACTGTGATGCAATAACTTTGTAGTTCAAGAAAAATGAATATACTGATGTCCTACCAGCTGTGTTTTAAAGCCGAATGTTTAAAGCATTGTCAAATGTCAGGAGGTAAAGGAAATCCTGCCTGATGTTTTGTTTGCAGCTTCACCAGCACCAACAGTAGAAGCGCCCCAGCAAGTCAGTGAGACAGTTCAATTCACAGGGCGGAGACTGAACTCTAAAATGCAAGTTTACTCTGGCTCTAAAACAGTCTGTCTTTCCAAGATGCTCACGCTGTATGAACAGTGCATCCGTGTGCTTCAAAATAATATTGATTGTGAGTACTTTTAAGGATTTGTAGCATGCTGTGCCTGGTGTCAGAATTCTTTTTCTTTCCATGCCAACAACTGGCCTACCTAAAGATACTGCCCCTCCCTACAAATGATGCCTCAGAGCAGGTTGAAAGGCACTTAAAAAATGGATTTATGGCCATACCAACATGTAGTTTTCTTTTGAAAGCTTACCTTTTCTAAAGGTTTAATTTTAGTTAAAATGTAATGCCCTATAAATTATTAGCCACAAAGCTTGCTGATGTGGTTTTTTTTTTCCCCCCTCCAAGATGTTTTCTGACGTACATTAGAATGTGTAGTCAAGAAGTTGTTGATTCCTTTGCATAGGCAAAGAGGGGAGTGATGCCCATCAGTAAAGATGGGGCAGTAGCTATTCAAAGAGGCTTTCTCCATTCTCGAATGTAACTGCCAGTCAATATCGAACTGCTGATGTATAAACATTTTCATAGCTTGACTTCAAAATGTGTGTTCTGTTAGTGCTTGCTAAAATTAACTTGTACTGAGTAAAACAAATGAGGTATTAAGAGTCCTGTCCTCTTTTGTAGCGCTACATGAAGTAGGAGGTGTGCCTTTTGAAATTCTTGAGCCTGTGCTAACACGTTGCACACCAGAGCAATTGTTTCGAATAGAGGAATGTAATCCGGTAAATTCTGCTTTGTTACGTTCAGGGAACCACGGAGGACACGAGGCATCTGTTTTCGCCTTCCTTGCACCCTTTTTGACAAAGATTCTCCACGGGTTGAACTGCTTTTCTGTCTTGCATACTTATTTCTTTGAATTGAGCTGTCACTACCAAGCCTCCCTTTCTCAAGTGTCAGGATTTAAAGCATTTGGGAGAATTATTACTGATGACTAAGTGAAAGCCAGTGTTGGCAAAAAAATTACATCCGTTCCTAAAAATATGGAGTGAAAAAACCCAAATACCCACAGTAATTAACGCTGAAATATTTGGGAAAGTCAGAACAGAACCAACTGTTTTCATGTTGCAAACTGTTCAGGCTGTGAAGCATACCAGTCAGGAAGTATCTGGGGTGAGATTTCAAGCGTGTGACAGATTTCTTATCTACACTGTTAGGATTTCAGCTCCATCGTGCATTTGGCCATCGAGGTTCTGAGTGTGTAACAAGTTGGCCATTTCTCTTTGTGCCTGAAGGTGAGAGCTGCTGTGGCCTGAGCCTGTTCTGAAACACGTCTGGCCTGTAAGCTTGGCTCACTAACTCAGATATAGAGCTCTGCTATTTGAAGCTGTGTGATTCCTAGACCGAAGTTAGTATCTCTCATGGTATTGCCACGGTCCACACTGGGGGTACCTGTGACAGCATGTGTGGTGGGATTTGTTCTGCACCTTTCTCTAACAGGGGATTGGGCTTTGTCTACAGGCTCAGCTAACAGGTGCTCTTGAAAATATTCTTAAAATCTTTGCTTTAAGATATCTTGTGTTCAAATTAGATGTTTGCAGAAGCATCTGACCACTTGTGGAAGAAACACTGCCAGAGAGACTTTAAAAATGAGAGCCTCCTGGAATGTGAGTCTTGGCGGGAAATGTACTTGAGACAGTCTAACCAGAGAGAAGAAAAACTGAAGGCGCTTACAAAAAATATTCTTTCAGCTCAGTCTGAGAAACCAAAAGGTAAAATCTGTCATTAGCTTTTCCACTTACTCAGTCTCTTATGGTATTCTTGACACTTAATATATACAGGTTTTAGTGACTTGTGACATTAGCGCTCTAGTGCAAACACCTCTAGGAGAAGATATCAACAAAGAATGCTTTTCTTCTTAATTTACAAGTGGCACAAAAATAAATACATACATTATATGTTGATATATTGTATTAATACTTACACCGTGCAGTAGATGAATCTTACCTTGCTGGTTAGACTGAGGATTCTAAGCAACAACGCAAAGAGTACAAATGTAATTACAAACACCAAAGTTAACATGAAGAAGTACTGCATGCAGTCTGTATATGATTTTCCATGGTTCAGTTACCACTTCAGTACCAGATTCCACTTTTCTGAATTATGTTTTTGCCAATTTAAACGTAGAAATTGTCACACAACTCTGTTATCAACTGACCTTTGAGCATAAAGAGCCAAAAAAGAAAAGTTATGTGTCCTCTGCTCCTTGTTTCTGTATTAGGCAGGCAAGTAAAAATGGCGTACATGAGCAGTGCAGCAAAACCACCCAGGAACATTCGCCGACAGCAACAAATCCATGGGACAGCAGGACCCAGCACCCAGCTTCATCCCATAGAGAAGTGCAAGTAAGTGTTTTGTACTGTGCTTCTAATTTGAGTTGAGATGTCTTTGTCGGTACAAAATCTTGCTGGCAAGATATTTTCAAAGTTACAAATAGCTCTCTATTTACTTTTTAAAGCAGCTGGTGCCTAGAAACTAACTTACCTTCTAAGTCTTGTGTGTTCCTCTTCTATGTATGCGTTGTCATCGCACGTTTTCCCAACGTGCCAGCAGTGAATTCACTATCCCAATGGGAGAGAGAGTGGATGCTGTTTTGTTTTCCCTCCAGATTACACTAATGCCACTCGACATCCTGGGGAGATTCTAGTGTTGATATTTTGTGTTTATAAACCTACTTTGAAACCTGATGTGTTTGCCTGATTTCCTAAAATCCTGGGGAGCTGTCTGGAGTGATAGAGCTGACCAGATATTTATCTGCAACTTTCAATACTCTTGATGGTGGGTTTCTGCTTTGGCAGCTTAATGGAGCATCTGGAACAGTCAATCTGTAGCAGTAGCCAACGCTAATAACAAGAGGAACAGAAAACTGGAGTTGCACAAATATTTCCTTTGTACAGCACAAAGTTAAATTTTCTTTGTGACAGCTTAGTTCAGAGTAGTTCAAGAGCTATGAGAACCAAAGCTAAGATGTGATGTTTGTCCCACTGTTTCCATGAGCCTCAAGAACTCTTGTATCCAAGTGAGTGGCTACAACAAGGAGATAAACCACCTGTACCACCAGCTCTACCTCTCCTTCCTTTCTCAATGATGTGGAAGCAGTCTGCTATTTGAATATCTGTTCTTGCCTGAAAAAAACAACACCACAGCAGTTGTGATGCAGAAGCACCCCATGGGTTGATGAGTCCATAGCTTTTATGGTCCAACTGCTGACACAGGGAGAGTATTCATACAGCCTGAATGTGGGTATCTTAAGATGTGGTCACTTACTCTGCTGTGGCTGCTGGTGAGCATGGAGCCTCCCTCATCCCCACTGCCTGTGGTTGTTCCTGTTTTGGCAGAACTTGTCTTCAACTACAGTTCTCAAAATTATACCTCTGCAGGAGTGGCAGGTGGAACATCTTTCCTTAATGTGAGTTAGGGACCAGTTGTGCAGGTTGACAAATACGTGAGTGGATACTGACAGATAGCTGGGAATAGGGAGGATAAAGCTTAAGCGGTTGTCAGTGTGATGCAGTGCGATGGTTTAGTATTGCTGAACATGTCAAGAGAGTCATTTCAAGCCGTTTCTGTTACGATGCTGCAATGCCTGCAGTTATGCTGAGCAATTCTTTGGTCTTAGGCACATATACTAGATAATTGAACTGACCTGGGTTTATCTGGGAGGTAAGGAAAAACCCTACAAAACCATGGCAGAGTGTTTTCTGTGAATTTCAAGAACTTAACTTGATCGAGGAGCCTTGGCTTACTGTTCAGGATGCTGGTAGGATGGGGCAGGAACGACACCCTGGATGCAGGAAAGTAAAATCAGCCTTTACATTAGATACATTGTTTTTAAAGCTGCACCTTTAGCTGATAAAAGTAGGAAGCTTCTTTCTATACTGTTGCAGTTTTCAAAGAAAAGATAGCCCCCCACCAAGGCAGTAGCTTAAGGCACTTCGAGTTAGGCTTTTGCTTTCGGTTGCCCCGTGGGAGGTTGTATCTGTGTTGTCACAGACCAGCCTTCCAGTTTAGGTCCTTCAGGTACAGTAGTGTAAACGTCCTTTCTTCTCCAGTAATCTCTGGACCAGTAGCTGAATTATATACTTGAAGCCCTGCATGTTTTTCTTTCTCAGGCATGATAAATTAGGAAGAAATGCTGTTGTGTGGAAGCAGCTGTGAGAGTCATTGCTTTGCCTTCTGAAGAAACAAGTTTGTTCAGGCACGATGAGTTTAATTTCATTGCTTTGACCATATCCTCTGAAAACATCTTGGTTTTGCAAGCTGTAGAATTGGTGCAGCTGAAATCTTCACTTAAAAAGCTGGTCTTGCAGGAGCTAAAAGGGTCCTGTGGCAGACATGGGGATCCCTAGCAAGCTCCTGTTTGCAGTTCAGCGTGCCGCAGCATACAGGTAACTGGCAGCAGATAGTACAGGTGTGCAAGGCTGCCCAAATTGGTGACATCACTCTGACACTTTAATGCGTGAAGGTTGGTTTAACTGTCCTTAGCAGTAGGCATCAGCTCTGTATCTGCATCTGCCTCAATCCTCGTCCTGTTGAGAAAGGATTCCAACCTAATATTTGGGGTTATTTATTGTGCCTTTTGCTAGACATTATTTAAAGAGAGGAAAAAAACTAGATCATATGGCATTATGAATCACAGTGATATTGCTAAACATTTTGATTTGTCACATTCTGATCATTTAATTTTAAAGAAAATTAAGATGCATCAAACTTAACGAAAAATTTGTGCAAGAATGGAAATGGACTAAATGACCACATAAGTTAGGGGGCTGGTTAGCTCAGTCAGTTGAGTGTGACGCTAACAATGCCAAGGTTGCAGGTTCGATTCCTGTTCGGTCCCGAAGTGTTGCCTGTTCTAGTCGAGAGGTGGCGTCCCTGGCGACAGGGAGGCTGGATTAAAATGATCTCTGAGGTCCCTTCCAGCCTGGGCCATTCTATGATTCTATGATAAGTTCCCTTCTAACCTGAATTATCCTATGATTTTTAAATGTATGAAGTCTTACATGTTTGTGATGCATTTCTTTTTTTTTTTTACCAAATAAGCCAGAGCAAATAGTAGTTTGATACCAAATGCTAACTTTTTCCTTATTTCCTTATTTGAAAAGAGTAAAGGTTTCAGAAAGCAGAGACAGAAATAACATGCCATCAAATTCGATCCCTGCTAGCAACAATGGAAGTTCTAGCTCAAGCATGACTCAGGATGGAAAGAAGCCTATCAAAAGTAAATGAAATTTCCTGAGATTATCGAGATAATTGTTTTAACTTGCTGTCTCTTCATATATGCTTAATATTTTGCTCATACTGTGTTAAATTACTCACAGCTGTAATACTAACTGGCCTCTCTTTCTGTTATTGAAGAAGTTGCACCAATCATGAGGAAAACTTTGAAAGCATTGAAGAGTAGAGCTGGGCGACGGTAAAATGAGGCGGCATATTTGAAGCTTATATGACTGTATGTCATGCCAGAGTTAATGAAAGTAACGTTAATGTAAACATTCTTCAGTTTGGCTTAGTTAAAACAGATGTGGAACAATTGCAATAAAACAATTTGCAATAAAAATTGAAACACCCAAGTCCTTTCATACTGCTGCTTTCTTATTCATGAATGAGGAAAACTGAACTGAAATAAACTGACAAATCAGTTAATATAGAGTTTTATAGATCCTATCTTTATCACTTTATGTGCACATTCGAATAAGCTTTTCATGGAAGCACTTAATTTTAACCTTGGCAAAATATACCCATAGCTTATCTCATAGAAATGGTCACGAGGTGTACTTAGAATTGCAAAGGGTTCTTGGCATTTCTTGCACAAAAGTGTTTTGGAAACTGTGTATCTGTTTCATTAAAGGTTTTTCCTAGGGAGGCTTTTATATTTTTCTTTTTATGAAAACAAGATTTGGTTGGATTTTGGTTTTTCCTCTTCTGGAAACAGAAGACTATGTAAGGCTGTTGGAGCTCAACTTCTAACCTGCTGGAAGTGGGATGTGAAACATCCTTACTTAGGACACCATGTGCTTTTCAGCGCTTTTACCTGACTTAGTCAATGAGCCTTTAAAGGAGAGGGAGGAGAAGACAGTGTCTTAAATTTAAATTTTAAAGCAGGATTTCTATACTGCTAGCATAGATAGGGCAGGCCATGACAGTGAGTTAAGGAGAAGTCATGTGTTATTCAGGAGGTTCATCTAGTTGATACAATAACTAAATACATTTTTTGTACAATAATTAAAACCTGACTTGTCATCTTATGATACCATCTCAAGGCATTGAGTCCTTGTATAGGAGATAGTATTTTGGGAACAAACGGAAGGGAGGGAAACCAAAAATGTCATCATTCTGATGCTCTGGTCATGTTGTAGAATTCATGCAGAATGATCCACTTAAGTCTGGAGATGAGGGAAACTTTGTACTATACTCTGATCTGCTCCTCTCAGCCTGTGCACACAACCTTGAATATGAGCTTTGTTTGTTTGTTTGTTTTTCTCCCAAAGTGCAAAAGCTATTTGGTCTTGAATAGCTGTCCTTTCGAGAATTGGGGACTGTTGCCATTTAGGATTTGTCTGTGAATGGTTTTGTTTTGAAAGTGAGATGCTTTGTAGTTGTTTCATTTAAACCAGTTCACTTGCTAAGTTTTGACTTAGCCTTGAAGGCATGGCTTACAGATCACAGAATGTCTTGGGTTGCCAGGGACCTTTTGAGGTTTTCTAGTCCAGCTTACCTGCAATGAGCAGGGACATCTTCAACTGGAACAAGTTGCTCAGAGCCCCATCAACCTTGAATGTTTCCAGGAGTGGGGTCTCCACCAGCTCTGAGCAACCTGTTCCAGTGTTTCACCACCCTCACTGTAAAAAAAATTCTTCCTGATATCCAGTCTAAATGTGCACTCTTCTAGTTTAAAATCATTACCCCTTGTCCTGTCACAACAGGTCTTGCTAAAAAGATTACTTCTGTCTTTCTTCTAGATTTCCTTTAAATATTGAAAGGCGACAACAAGGTCTCCCTGGGGCCTTTTCTTCTTCAGGCTGAACAACCCCAACTTCCTCAGTCTTTCTTCATAGGCGAGGTGCTCCAGCCTTATGATAATTTTTGTGGCCCTCTTCTGGACCTGCTCCAACAGGTCCCTGTCCCTCTCGTGATGGGGGCTCCAGAGCTGGAATGCAGTATTCCAGCTGGAGTCTCGCTAGGGCAGAGAAAGGGGTAGAATCATCTCTCCTGACCTGCTGGCCACACTTCTTTTGATGCAGTCTAGGATGTGATTGGTCTTCTGGGCTGTGAGCACACACTGCTGGCTCATGTCCAGCTTTTTGTCCAGCAGTACCCTCAAGCCCCTTTCCACAGGGCTGCTCTCTACCGCGTCATCCCCCAGCTTGTATCAACCCAGGTGCATTACCTTGCACTTGGTTTTGTTGAACCTCATGAGATTCACACAGGCACACTTCTCCAGCTTCTTGAGGTTCTTCTGCATGATGATGTCATCTGCAAACTTGCTGAGGCTGCACTCAATCTCCCTGTCTATGTCACTGAAGAAGATACTGAACATCACTGGTCCCCGTACAGACCCCTGAGGGACACCACTTGACACCAGTCTCCATCTGGACATCAAGCTGGTGGAGGGACTCTTTCTATAGAGTGCACTCAGTAGCTGCACGTAGGTCTTGTTTCTTCCTTGCTATGTCTATGGGATTTGGCATCTTGGAACTCTTCCTGAAGCACAGGCTAAGGGTAAAATCATCATGGAACCAGTTTTTGGCTCTTACTCAAGACGCCTTATGTGTGAATTTCCTCACCATCCTGTAAATTTTCTAGTGGATTACGAAAATGCTGCTACCAAAAATGGCTTTTGCAGTCAGGTAGCTTAGTCACCTAAGTAGCAGCTTGTGCAAATGCTATAAATAATAGAGGGATTTTTAAGTCAGCAGGTGTGCTACTGTGTTGTGGTTATTTTTCTGTGTTATAGTTGCACTAAAAAGAATGAAAGGTGAAAACAGGTGTCTTGACCTGGCAACTCTGTGGGGAGCTTTCTCTGTCTCTGGAATCAAAATAAGCATTGACTAGTAGGAGATGTAGTGTGTTGTCTGTCGTACACATCTGTAAGAATGCTTCTGTGTGGAGCTATTCAGGACTTAAACCTGGCTGAATGTTGCCAGTTTGTCAAACAGCTTTGGTCATCACATAATTGCTAATCTGGTGACTGAACTTTAATTATGCTGGGTTTTGTATCAAACATAGTGTGAATTGTTACACCTTTTTTACTAAGTCACTTTTATTTACTGTAGTTGTTGATGGTATCCCTTTATATAAGAAAAGACAAAGCTGTAACTAAACCTTCTGTTGGACTCTGGTGTTAGAAAACACAGCTGTAACCACTTGGCGAAGCTCTAGAGCAAAAAGAGAGTGTGCCTGTGGGAGACTGAAGGATAAATAGTTGTTTTAACTAGTAGGCTTCATGTTGTTAATTGAAGTAGGAGAGAACTCTTTTCCTATCCTTGACACCAGTGGGAGAGCTGTGTAGAGGGCAAATTTGACTTCAAAATTAAGTGGCTTTCGTTTCCTCTTCCTTCTTTCTCTCACTTCAAAGGCTATAGCTGTATCTCTGGTAAGAGCTATGTGGAGGGTACCTGTGGGATCAGGTTGTTTTCCTGACAGTTTCAACGTTAGAAAATACCGTAGACAAGCAAATCACCGTACAGTAAAGTAGCCGGTGCTACTCACGCTTTAGGCTGTGTTTTTTCTTTCCCTTCAGATGTGCTGTGGTTTGTTCCTATAGCCTGAGTGCCCGTCTGAGGCCACAGTATGACAGGAGTGCTCTCAGAATACATCTCCCAGCTCATTTGTGAGAAATCCTGGTTTTGTGGTTCGAGACTGCTTCGTGACACAACTCAAAGTGTATGTGGAGGTAAATTTAAAGCTTATTTCAAAAGTGTATCCTTTTAATCTGAACTAGAGCACTAATGTAGATACTTCTGCAGTCTTTTGCCTTCTATCCTTGTGTGCAGTTACTCCAATTAAAGAGTTCTTGCTAGGCCTGTGTGTTCTTGACATCTGACAGAGCTAACAATACACGGTATCAGAGTATCTGTGGCAGATCTCTTTCCTTCTGGTGGATGTGTCAAAAGACTCTTTGCCAGTTTTGCTACATAGTCACTGGGCTGGTTGCCACATCCCACTTCCTGATAAATCCTGTATCGTCCTGTTTTGTGTTGTAACCTACTGGCTCTGAGCTCCCTGGTGGAGAACTGAGCCTGACTCAGGGCAGCTTGGAGGAGGAGACATGATCCTTCTCACGTAGGTGACTGTTTTCACTGAAAGACTAAAAATCATGAATGCATGATGGTGTTCTCTTCTTTAGAGACACACTGCAGCTCCTAGTCCTCCTGCAGTGTCTTTGGAGCCTTTCCTTCCAGCAGCATGACTACTTTTCCCTCCAGGTGAGAGCAAGTTCTGTCTTCCTTTCTGATGAATTAAATAAGTGATGGGAGAAAAAATATGGTCACCAAAGGACAACCCTGCTCTTGTGGAAAAGACCACAAATGGAGAATATTTCTTTTCTTCTTGAACTGTGCTTTTCATACATAGAAACCCCTTTCCACTTCCTGCCAGTGTTTGCTTCATAGCATACCAGGAACATTTTCCATCCTGTTAGTGGTTGAGCCCAAGCAGAAAGTTCAGCCTGACTGTTATTACATGTCAAAAAGGATGTATCTAAACATTCCCCGTGGCAGGAGGAGAAAACAGTTTTGAGGTGAAGTGTTCTTGCTTATGTAAGAGACCCTGCTTAAAAGGCATGTGAAGTTCCAGGAGCTAAGCTCTTCTCGGGGACCATGTAGGCATTCAAATGCTAGGTTAAGTCCTGGGCAAAAACAAGCAAGACATTTGGGGTTTGGTGTGGTCCTTCTGGAAGAATTTGGAGACCTCGGAGATCTGCCCTATGTGTTCCAGTAGACAGTTGTTGCTGCTCCAAGGATCAGTATTGGAGCTGCTGCTGAAGCAAGGCACAGCTGGGATCCCTGTCAGCAGAGAGGATGTTACAGCTCTGAGCATGGTGCCATTGGCTGGCTGGTACCTGGGGTTTTCTGAGGATTTCTGGTAGTTGTAGGATAATCCCAGCAGAGCGAAAAGAAATCCCCTCACACGGTGTGAATCTCAGGCTTGTCATCTGAAAGCTCACGCCGGGATTTAACGTGGTGAAAAATGTCGGACTGATGGGAAGATATTCCTAGATATACTGCTTTTTCTGAGGGGAGGTGAGAAACAGAAAAAAAACCCAAAAAACCAAACCAACCTGTTTGGGTCAGAGTTGCCTGATTATTTGTATTATTTTCCTTCTCTGCACTTCCTGTAAAGAGAGGAGAGGTCTTTGAGTGGGTGTTTGAAGGCCTTGGTTAGATGGCCCACTGTCTCCCCTTGCAGCCAATTCCAC